ATATATATATTTATCGCAATGAAAATACCTATATTTCCAATTTAAATTATATGTTAGGGCACGGATAGACATTATACAGGTTTGTTTTGAATGAAAAAAATAAAAGATAAAAAATAAAAATTTGCAATCGTATACTGTAAGTGTTTCGTAAGTCATTAGGTTTTATTTTTATTATGATTGCCCTGTTTTTTATTATTTATGATGGTGAACTCTCCTTCTGGAACGATATCTGAGTTTTGGTCAGAACCTACGATCGCAAACGCGGATTCTGATGTTTTTGAAGGACACGCGTTTTGAGAAAAAAAGAGAGGGGAGAGGATCTGCCTGACTCATAGAATTTGATCTAGACTTGCGGTGAGGCTTTGGGGCCGCTAGGGAGGCAGCTGGCGGCGGAAGAAGTGGGGTGGCCGGTGGCGGGGGCAGGGGGACGGCCGGTGGTGGGGGGAACGGAGTTCGGACCTGAGGAGTGTTGGGAAGAGGGATAGGGGTAGGGGATAGGGAGTGGATAGGATTTGTTGATGTTTGGGTATTTATTGTATTAGCTGTATCAGTATTATTAAACATGTTTTCTCCAAAATTAAACAGTGAATTTGTTTGAATGCCGATGCCGTTCTTTTCGATAGTGTTAGGATTTTGTTTTGTAATTTCAGCAAAAGATGTAGTAAACTGGGTTGGATTCTGTTCTTTATGATTTTTTTTTGCTTCGTTTAATCTTCATGTTTTGCTTCACCACACTGAATGCATTTACTTTTTTGTTTGCAGACGTTCGAAAGGTGACCGAAAGATAAGCAGTTAAAACAGCGAAGCGGATTAGGAATATAATCCTGTACCTTGACCGTATGGAATCCTATCTTTATTGTTCCCGGAATTCTCTGTGTAGGAAAGGACACGATATAAGAATTTGTCAATATCTCATTTCCATTTTTTTTTAATGCGTAATATATCTTTTATCACTGAAGATAATTCATTTTTAATTTCGTCTATCTCTAGAAATTGGAGATCGTAACATCGAATCACTCTTTTACTGTAATTTAAGGTATTGTGGGGGGGGGAACCTGAACAGGAAATTGGCCACCAAAATTTTCATATTTTAATAATTCTTCTGATTGTTTTCTGTTTTTGGTTTCAATAAGTAATGTACCATTTCATAGCTTTTTCGCATTTTTTAAGTCTCCTACTAAACCTGAAAGAAACTTATTTACTAAGAACGGGGATGCTTTTTCAAGATTTTGATCATCTGATCTTTCTATTATTAAGAACGATGGGCTAATTGGGATCGCACCAACCGTATTTTCGGCTTCGAATTTAAGACGACCCCGAGGTCATTTTCGTTTAACCTTTGGGCTATTTAAATTTATGGGATCCCCCATAGAAATATATAATAAATATATGTAATAAAAGAAAGTAATTAGTAGAGAGAAAAAGAAGAAAAAAAAATTGATAAAATGAAATAACATAAATATATCCTTATAGTTGATATATATATATATATATATATATATATATATATATATATATATATATAAGTATATATCCTTATATATATATATATATATATATATATATATAATATATATATATATATATATATATATATATATATCCTTACAGTAATAACAAATAAGTGAAAAGTTATAAGAAAAATAAATTAACAAATGTATTTAATCTTATCTGTGAGCATCTGTAGAGGCACGTCTTCTCTCTTCCAATGCTAACACTGAACTGCGCAACTCCTATAATTATTACTGTAAAAAATTAAAACTGGAATTAGCCACCTGCAGATCACAATCCTTTAACTTCTACCTATCCTCCCTCTCTGTTCGTGATAATTCTCTTTGGAAAACCACAACGAAAATCCTAAACCCTCACCAAATTTCCCATCCACTCCAACGAGATGATGGCTCCTGAGCAGCATCTGACGAAGATAAAGCCGATGAGTTCGCCAAACGCCTCTCCAATACATTTATTCCCCATCCGGAATCCCATCCTGCCCACACCATAACAGTAGAAGAATTCCTTACATCACCTATCTCACTTTCCTTGCCTCCTAAAGCAATTCATCCTTCCGAAGTGAAATTTCAATTACAAAAGCTAATCCTCAGTAAATCTCCTGGATATGATCTCCTTACCCTTCAGATCCTTCGACAACTTCCATACAAAGCATTCATATTTCTTACATATATCTACAATTGCATACTACGTACCATTCACTTTCTATTATGGAAACACTCCACCATTATCCTTTTTCCAAAATCAGGCAAACCTCCCAACAGCTTGACGTCCTATAGACCAGTTAGCCTACTCCTAATCCTTTCAAAAATCTTTGAAAAGATCCTTTTAAAACGACTCCTACCACTCATAGAATCCCAAAATCTTCCTTCACATCAGCTTGGTTTTCGCCCAAAACATTCCACTGTTTAACAAGGACTTCTAGTCGTTGATCATATATCAGCAGCGCTAGAAAACAAGCAATACTGTTCGGGTGTATTTATGGACATAGCACAGGCTTTTGACCGAGTATGGCACCCCGGGCTGCTCTACAAACTTAAAATCCATCTCCCTCAGTTCTTATACATAATCCTTCGATCCTATCTCTCTGACCGCTCCTGACGAGTACGCTGTGAAACGGCATTTTCCGAAATTTATTCGGTGTTCACCAGGGCAGCGTCTTGGGTCCCGTGCTTTACACCCTCTTTACCGCTGACATCCCTTCTCATTCCAATACCTTCCTTGCAACATTTGCTGATGACACCGCAATCCTATCATCCAACTCAGATCCTGAAATAGCATCCTTAAATGTGCAAAGGCACCTCCCCCTTATTGAGCACGGGTGTGATGAATGGCGCATTAAAGTGAATGAGTCGAAATGCAAACATATAACCTTTACTCTTCGACGCAATTCCTTTAATTCCATCCAGCTTCCTTACTCAGACACAGTACGGCTTTCTCTTAGACCGAAGACTGACATGGAACCCACATACAGACTCAAAAGACAAGAACTCAATCGACGATATGGCCAGCTACATAGACTACTGAACAGAAAATTTCTACTTTCAATTGACAACAAACTAATGATCTAAAAGACAATACTGAAACCTATTTGGACCTACGGACTGGAACTGTGGGGGACAGCAAAGTTTTCTAACATCAAACGCATTCAATCCTTTCAGTCCAAAGTCCTTCAAACAATAGTTGATGCTCCGTTCTATGTAACCAACCAAACCCTACACCATGACATTAATATCCCATTTGTCCTAGACCTTATCACTCTGAAATTTCCATTGGTAATACCATTGATGCGACTGAGAGAAAGACGCTGGGATCTCCTAGAGTCCTGCCTTTCCCTCCACGAGTGTAGTGAAAAGCTTGGCTCGGAGATATTGAGTGACTGGGTATTGTATAAAAGCATGTGTGTATATAAATATTTATTTTGTTAGATTAGTTTATTTTTGTTTAGTTAGTATCTTTTAGTTTATATACATTTACTTTAGTATTATTATATTGCTGTTTATTATTTTTATTTGTTGTGCATAGTATGAATGAGCTACTCTATATCACTATTACTATTGTCCTTGAATGTGACAGATTGTAATATATCTCAATAAAGACTATTTAAAAAAAATTATTTTTATTAACCTATTATTTGTATATATGGTATGAATGAACACATTTAGCCTTGTTACTTGTTGAACTTCAATTTGGCATTGTAATATTTACTGCTCAATAAAAATAAAAAAAAAGCAGTTTTTATATTTTTCTTAGTATTTTTTGTATATATTTGTATTATATCTAGATGCCGGAATGGTCTATATTTACTATACCTAAATCTGCTATAAGTATATCTACATACAGAGGGGGGCCGTCCCTAAATAAAATTATTTTTCATTTCATTTATTCCCATGACGGATTAGAACCCTCCCGACTCAAAAGAGCCATGAATGAATCATAATAATTACTACTACATAATTATTTCAAAGTGAGTAACCATAATATTTATTGAAATGTAACATAGTTTAACAAAAGCATTAATGAATTAATAAGTTAATAAACAAGTTATGAAATAAACTGTTGTTGATACTCTAATACATATTCTCGGTGCAAATGAACTGTATATATATAAGTTAAAGTATGGAGCGGGACAGTATTAGCGTTAATACCAAAAGCAATGATGTAAATATTCTCAGAATATATATATAGAGGATTAGAAGGAACAATAAACCAGTCTTGATTCCGACTTCATGCGTTTCATTTCGTGAACCTTTTCCTTTTTTTTAACTGTTTCAACTCCGTTACACTTAACTGGAGGTGAAACCCGGGATATCAAGAGTGCGGAGGTATGTTTTTTTTCGATCAGGCAAAAATTCACAAGGATGCCTGAAGGAGTGGCACTGAGGCCGGCGGCCTCTCTGAACGTACCGGAAACCTCTCCATTACCGTAGGGAACATTAGCCGCGGCATACGCAAATGCTATAGAATGGATGAAGATCAGGGTAGCCACTTCACAGGACCTGAGGAAGGCTGCATCCGATATCGAGCGCTTCACAGGAGAAACGGGTAAGCTAAACCATTTCTTAAAAAGTTTAGTTACACTTAACTTATAGGAGAGCCGGAGTGGCTGAGTGAGATTAAGCACCTATAAAAATATACTAGCCTACAAACCCAAATTTCAGGTGCCGAATTCAGGTGCCGGGAATCCACTGGCATTGAATAATTAATTAAAAAATAAATTAAGTCAAATAAATATTTAATAAATATGTCCCCCTCTTGCCAGGTATCCCGGTCTTATCCGGGTCTACCTTGGTCTACAGGAAGCCATTTATGCTTAAATTTATTACAACAGTATTCAGAAATAAGTTTCTTATTTTAATTTTTTATTCTTGCGGTAATATGAAGATAATTTATTTATATAAGATATAAGGTATATATATAATTTATATAAGGTATGTAAGATAATTTAATTGCGGTTAACCTATTCATTAAATGATAAGAGTAGTACTTACACCGATGCGAGAATAGTCAATATCCAAGTTGACTCCTCTCTTTACGTTCATTATCTTGGCTATTAAAACTCCAACTATCCTTTCATTTTCTTCTTCTATGGCTAATAGTGAAGTTCGGTCCCTTAGCCAGTATTTCATAAGGTCCTTATAATAATCTACTGATTCTGGATCATGCGTAAGGCTTACTCCTTTGCACAATATGTCATTCTTGAAGAAGTTTTTCTGCAAAAAAGAAGTTTCAAAGTTGTCAAAAGAGTATAATCATAATATCGTATTAATGGTTTGGAAGATAAAATATTGAGTAGAGCAACAAATAGGTGAAGAAATGTATTCTATATTTGAATGGAAGTTTTCAATAATTAATATTTAACATTTCGTTTGGAAAAAGAGAAAAACCATCTGCCTCTGGGAAAGTAGTCCTGACGTATGTGGATCATCCAAAGCGGCATTATCTGGCTATCGTTGCTATGAATTATTTAAGGAGGATTATACTCGCGTATAATGTGCCCAAATGCGCCATGTGCCCTTTCCCCCAAGGTTCATGGCGCAAGAACCTACCCACCCTCCGCCCAAGATGTTATACTGCTCACCTTTTCTTGAAAACCAAGCAAGCAAAAGTAAAATTAGAAAAATCATAGATCATATACAATTACACTTGCTGCGGCGTGTTCCATGTTTCCCCTTGTTTGTCCGAAAATTCATAAACTCGTCTTTTAGTTAAAGAAAAAGGTCTGGATTTTATTCAATAAAAAATAATTTTTAATAAAATCTAGAATTAGTTCAATTGGGACTATTTGAGTGTGGTTGCCTATTGGAAGAATAATCCAACTCAATTTGGCATTTCAATATAGTTCTTATACTGTATAAAATAAGTTTCTCTTATGCAGCAATCGAAAGGCTTCAATTTAAAGCAAAGTTTACAAACTCATTAAAAGTCTCTACGTCTTGAATCAAAAGGACAGATGTTGGTATGAATGATTCCGTGGTTTTATGACAACATTGGTACTTGTTCAAACCAATCCTTGAAAAGCTTACAAGACTGTTTCAACTCCAGTTTTGAATAATCAGGAAAGTATTAAATCAAGGGGAGAAACTATCAATTTTCCTTAAAATGAGGCTGTCAGAGCCTTAATATATTTCAAATTAGCCAAATATTTTCTATGGTGTTAACGTAGTTTCTATAGAGCTAGAAAAACCTTTAGTAGACGAGGTTATTAAGATAAAAAGAATTTTCCGATACTTAAAAGGAATCCAGAAAATAGGAATTGTATTCAATTACATTGACCGAAATCATATTAGAAGACATAGTGGCGAGAATCTGGTGATCTCCAGCGCCGGCCTTAGGATGGGCAACCGCAGCAATTGCCACGGGGCGCCGACATGGAAGGGTGCCAGTTGGAGGTGCGGACCAATCTTCAGGGGCGGTCACCAAATGGAAGAAATAAATAAACGTTACACAACGTATTAAAATAATCAATTTTAACCCATTAATGAAGATTGTATTACAGAATTGTTGAATGAAATAAAATTCAGAGATAACATAAACAGCTTAAGAAATAAATTTCATTTTTAGGACGAGAGGAGGAGATGACGTCATTGATCGGGGGCAGCAAATGTCTAAGGCCGCTACTGTTGATCTCAGTACAGGTAGGTCTACTTCTAGAATTATTTCCACGTTTGCTGGAGGCCCTATTTCTAGGACAAGGCAAAGACAACCTGGGAAAAATTAGAGTAGCAAATAAATGGCAGAAATAAGGAAAAGAAACAATATCAATCTTAAATTAAGTGCATAACACTTTTAACGAAACAGTACAATATATATATATATATACACTGACAGGCAAAAAATTCCACCCACTTGATTTTTTCATGTTTTTATCTAAAAATATTTCTGCTTTGGATTGGTCTATTGTTTTTAATGAATAAATAGGTAATATTTTTGTTTGTTTTCAATTAGGAATGTTAATATAGAGGACAATAACCATTAATCCTTAATTCAATGAAATGATTCTATATTCCAATGTTTGCTTTCTATGGAATCAAAATGTTTATTCAGTATCATTAGTTCAGTGCCGTTTCTTGCAGCACATTTCTTAGTCTCCGGCTTTTAATTTTTTCAATATTAATTTAAAAATGCCTCTTAGTGCTGAGGATGTTGCGCGTGGTGTGGCACTTATTGATGATGGACGTTCCATTAGATATGCAGCTAATGCCATCGGAGTTCCATATGAAACTTTACAAGACGCCGTCAGGCGTTTTCGGGAAACTGGTTCTTACAATAGAAGGCCCGGTTCTGGACGGCCTAGGGTAACAGAACCACGGGATGACCGGTTTTTGACTTTGAGAATTTTACGAAACCGGCACCTTACCGTTGTTCAAGCGATTCATCAGCTCGAAGAAGTTCGAGGTGTGCAAATTTCTGAACGTACCGCTCGGAGAAGATTAAATGAGTATGGATTAATGGCTTTTCGTCCAGTAAGAGGACCAGAGTTGACCAGAACTCACAGAGTAACACGGCTGGCTTTTGCTCGAGAACACAGCCATTGGACTATGGACGAATGGAGTGCTGTACTTTTTACAGATGAGTCAAGATTCGCTCTTCGATCTCCAGACGGGCGTGAAAGGATGTGGAGAAGAAGAAACGAAAGATATGCAGCCTGTAATTTTTCCCAGAGCCAACCTTTCCAACGTGGTTCCTTAATGTTGTGGGCTGGGATTTCAATGGAGCGCCGCACAGAATTGGTTGTTGTTCGTGGAGGGTCTTTGACGGCCATTCGCTGTGTAGATGAGATTTTGGAACCTCATGTGTTGCCTATCCTCAACGAAATTGACGATCATTCTATTCTAATGCACGATAATGCACGCCCACATGTCGCCCGCATAGTGCAGACGTTCCTTCAACATAACAATATTGAGGTTTTAGCCTGGCCAGCACGTTATCCAGATTTGAACCCCATTGAGCATTTATGGGATGACCTCGGAAGGCGAATAAGAGCGCGTGCAACACTTCCTGATACACTGCAGGACCTTGAAAGAGCTCTTCGGGAGGAATGGGCTATCCTCCAGCAAAGGGACATTTCCCGACTGGTGGAAAGTAAGTTAAGGCGTCTTCAAGAAGTAGTGAATGCAAGAGGAGGAAACACGCACTACTAAACGATGATGTAATTAATTTCTTTAAGAATAATAATGGTTCGTTTTGGAATTTTAAACATTGGAATCTAGAATAATTTCATTGAATTAAGGATTAAGGGTTATTGTCCTCTATATTAACATTCCTAATAGAAAACAAACAAAAAGATTACCTATTTATTCATTAAAAACAATAGACTAATCCAAAGCAGAAATATTTTTAGATGAAAACATGAAAAAATCAAGTGAGTGGAACTTTTTGTCTATCAGTGTATATATATATATATATATTTTTTTTTTTTTTTTTTTTTTTTTTTTTTTTTTTTTTTTTCGGTTGGCTCTACATACCTTGTAGATCTTTGGCCGCCTGAACCAGCCTTCTCCACCTCTGCCTATTTTGGGCTACTGCTTTCCAGTTTGCTACATGGATCTCAGCCGTATCTTTGTATATCCTATCTATCCATCTGGTTTTTGGCCTCCAACGTGGTCTCTTTCCTACTACTCTGGCATTCATTGTCGTGTAGAGGCGTCCTGATGAATTACTACGAGCTACATGCCCGTCCATCTTTTATTGTCATAAATACATTAACATCAATTCTCATACACATGATTTCCTTTATTATAATCGATCCTTGATTATTCCATAGAAGTGGGACACGATGCACAGTGGTTCGAAGGAAGAAATAACTATTTTTTGAAGGTATTGGAAAATAATTTTCTTTTTTTCAATGATAAATAGATTAGTTACCTAAGATATTTCACCAATCAAATCGGTAAAATATTGATTTTTAACGTTGAACGGACTTCCCAAATGTGATCATGGAATAATGTTTGAATTGCAATTAAAATTGTTCGACATTAATATTATTATTGTCACTAACATTTTGTATGTTTGTTGCGACTTTGCTTTATATTTATTAACAGATATTCCAAACTGCGTGAAAAAAATATATGACTTATTCCTATTTTCAAGTCCAAAATATTATTTTGAATAAGCTTTAAAATAAATGGGGAAAAATAAGGGGGTATGGAAACAGTCAGCCTTCCGAACCTAGAGAAAATCCTGAATATCGAGAGGAAGATTTCGAAGAGGATTCAAGGACTCAAAGTAACGCAAGAGGGATACAGGTTAAAATCCAATAAAGAAATATGCAAAAATTTGGAAGATTTGGAACCAGTCGTCATGACCAGAAGACTGAGGTTCTACTGGCACATGGTCAGGATGAATAGTGAAAGACTGAACAAGAAAATTTTTGACAAAGTTTGCAGCTATAAAAGTATGGGTAGATATGTAAAACAAATAAAAGAGGAAATAGACAGGCTAAAAATCGCGGATTAAGATTGCTTGGATAGAGAGCTTTTTAGGGAAAAACTGAAAAGTGTTGGGGTTCTTGAGGTGAGAGGGAGAGACGAGGAAGAAAATGGACTAAGGAAGAGCGAGAGGAACAGTTCAGGAGGATGCGATAGTATTGGAGTAAGAGGAAGGCTGAGGGAGTGAAGAGGAAACGGAAATGATATTCGCGTGGTCCTTGCTGGTCGGTTCGTGAAAAAAAAAAAGAAATGGAGAAAAAATATACTTTAGTGATCCAGATCTTTTTATCGTGTCTGACTACAGGTCTAACATCTATTTGTTAATAAAACAGGATTCCTAATCCCCATCCCCATCCCCACATATATTATTACAGTAAGGCTCGAAATCGGTTTTGTACCAAATATAAGCTCCTGTCATGCTCAAATACCATGAATGGGGTACCGTTGGATTCAGAATTTCACGGGGGGTTTGCGAATCGTATTCTCCACTTTTGTTTTTCTTTCTAACATAAATAAAGTCGATACAAACATTTTGCTAGGCTTCAATACTGGAACGGTGGTAGGTCTGTAGATCGATAGGGGACAAATTGGATCTTGAGTTTTTAAGCCCAAAAACGTACTGTTTTCGAGATAACGCAAGGCATAGGGTTCGCATCCATACAGCCTTACATTAATTGTGGTACTGTCATTGAATACATGTCTCATTTCGTCGACTTGAGGTCTCTATGATCGAGAAAGGAAGAGTTTATATTAGTTATCGATGGTGTTTTTGATCGGCATGC